GATGATTTGGAATTTACATAATAATCACAATGTCTAAGTCCAACTTACACCATCCTTCACACAACTACAATGAAACGACTCTTCATGCCTTAAGAGTCATTACATTCTAGTAAAATACATGAATAGGGTGCCATAAGCATAATAGCACTTATTTATCAATAAGGTTTCACGTGTATCCTAACTCAAGCAAAATATTCTTCACTTGCCAATAAAGAACCCCGAACTATGGGAATGAAGCTTTAAGAGTTCAAATACCAACAACACTTTGAAAGGAGCGTCCTACCAATTGGTCAAAGTCATTTGCCCAAACTCGACTTTTCTTTAATAATGAGATCACCCAAGTTCATCCTTTTGACCCAAAACTAACCATTTCACCTAAGTGAGTATCTGCAGTAAATTAAGGCATAGGATAAGCAAGGTACTTTATTTCAATAGCATATAGATTTATATAGAGTTAAGATGAACTCACCTTGTAGGATTTAGGAGAAATCCCAATCTCTTGAAATTAACCGGTTTGACGGAAGGAAATTCGAAAGTAGCAAGATTGCACTCCTATCTTCGTGGGGCAGCAGTAGCAACAGAAACTGAAGGAGTGGAGAATCAGGAAAAACGAAGAACAACACAGTAGCGCATATTGTTTGGGCGAAGCTAACGAAGAAACAGTACAGCAGTGGTTTCTGTTTGGCGAGGTAAACAAAGAAACAGCTCAACAGCGGTTACTGTTTGGCGAAGGAACGAGGAGACAGTTCAACAGCAGCTACTGTTTGGCAAAGCACAGCAACGACTGTTGTTTATGCAAGTGTTTGGGCGAGGGAAACGAAGAAACTGCATAGCAAGGCTGCTGCCTGCTGTTTGATGTTTGTGGCTTGGTAAGGAGAAAAAGAAACACGCAGCAAGCCTGTTGCCTGCTGGTTGCTGTCTGCTGCTTGGCAAGGCACAGGGTAGGATAAAAGATAGTAGCTGAGCTACCCCCCCCCCCTTCCTTTCTTTTTTTCTTTTTACTAAAGGAAGATCAAACATATATAAATAAAAGGTTCGATAAATTTCTAGATGTTACAATCCTCCCCACCTTGGGATAAATTTCGCCTTCGAAATTTAAGTTCAAGAGACAAGGTGGGGGTAACGCCTCTTCTTCCGCTTCCCATGTTACGTTTGACCCTCGGTGATATTTCCATTGTACTTTAACCATGAAATTTTCTTTGTGCCTCAACACTTTGGTCTTCCTTTCTAAGATGGCTTCCGGTTCTTCAACACACCGGTTGTCCTCATCCACATGAATTTCCGAAAGTAGAATCACACTTTCTTCTTCCGCTAAGCATTTACGAAGGTAGCACACATGGAATATGTTATGGATTCCGGCCATCTCACGGGGTAGTTCTAATTTTGTAAGCTTGAAGTCCTACCCTAGCCAGGACTTTAAACGGTCCAAGGAAACGAGGGCTTAGTTTCCCGCGCTTTCCATAACGGATAATGCCTTTCCAAGGGGACACCTTTAGCATTACACGGTCGCCCACTTGGAATTCCATAGGTCGGTTCCTCTTGTCTGCGTAACTCTTTGTCGATCTTGAGCCACCGTTAAGCGTTCCGGAATACACTTCACCTTGTCAGTCGTTTCCAGAACGATCTCGGGACCAGCAAACTATTTCTCACCCACTTCTAGCCAACACACTGGAGTTCTACATTTTCGTCCATACAACGTCTCGAATGGTGCCATCCTGATACTGGAATGATAACTATTATTGTAGACGAACTCCACAAGGGGTAGGTGAGAATCCCAATTCCCGCCAAAGTCGATAACACACGATCTAAGCATGTCTTCAAGGATCAGTTTGAGGATGGTAAGTTGTACTCAACTTCACCCTCGTTCCCAACTCTTTCTTTAAGCCGTTCCAGAAATGGAAAGTGAATCGGCTATCTCGATCCGGTACTATTGACAACGGTATACCATGCCTTGAGACTACTTTGTCAATGTATAACCTGGCAAGCTTCTCCATTGGCAACGATTCACTCATTGCGAAGAAGTGAGCGCTCTTTGTCAGTCTATCAACCACTATCCATATCGTATCATGACCTCTTAAGGTCTTCGGCAGTTTGGTCATGAAATCCATCGTAATATGCTCCCACTTCCATTCAGGAATTTCCAAGGATTCAAAGCTACCATAAGGTCGTTGGTGCTCCGCTTTCACCTGCAAACAAGTCACGCACCTCTCCACGTAACGAGCCATGTCAAGCTTCATAACGGGCCACCAATATGTCAATTTCAAGTCCCGATACATCTTGGTGCTACCTGGGTGAATGGAGTATTTAGACTTGTGCGCATCATCCAGCAACAATTCATGATTGCCTCAAACCTTGGGTACCCATATACGTCCTTGAAACAACTTTAAGCCACGGTCGTCCTCCGTAAGAAGTAAGTATTGTTTTATCATTACTTCATTCTTGAGATTTCCTTCCAAAAGTGCTTCAGACTGTGCCGCTTTGATCTGATCGATCCTAGTGAGCACGGCTTTCGTCTCACTATCGTACTCCTTCCGGCTCAAGGCATCCGCCACTACATTAGCCTTGCACGGATGGTATAGTAATTCGCAATCGTAGTCCTTGAGCAGCTCGAGCCAACGCCGTTGCCTCATGTTTAATTCTTTCTGATCAAATATGTACTTCAAACTCTTGTGGTCGGTGAAAAGCGTGCACTTGATACCATAAAGGTAATGTCGCCATAGCTTTAAGCCGAACACCACCACCGCTAGCTCCAAATCGTGCGTGGGATAGTTTTTCTCATGATCTTTGAGTTGTTTGGAGGCGTATGCTATCACCTTTCCCCTTTGCATCAAGACACAATGCAATCCCATTTTAGAAGCGTCGCTAAAAACTACGAAGTCTTCAGATCCTTTTAGCAAGGAGAGGATCGGGGCTTCACATAATTTTTTTTGGAGAGTTCTAAAAGCATATCCTTGCTTTTCTGTCCATATAAACTTCACATTCTTCCTAGTCAATACCGTCAAGGAAGAAGCGATCTTGGAGAAATCTTGGATAAATCTCCTGTAATAACCCGCCAAACCCAAGAAACTTCAAATCTCTGACTGACACTTTGGTGGTTCCCAATTCATCATCGCCTCGATCTTAGATGGGTCCACCTTTACCCCGTCTCGAGTGACAACATGACCCAAGAATTGGACCTCATTTAACCAAAAGTCGCACTTGGAGAATTTTTTATACAATTTCTCTTTTCTCAACACTTCGAGAACTTCTCGAAGGTGTTGTTCATGATCCGTCTCGTCCTTGGAATAGACGAGTATGTCGTCAATGAACACTATCACTGACTTATCAAGGAACGGTCGGCACACTCGGTTCATCAAGTCCATGAATACCGCCAGTGCATTCGTCAAACCAAAAGGCATGACCAAGAATTCATAGTGCATGTATCGTGTTTTAAAAGCTGTCTTCGACACATCATTTTCTCTTACTCGCACTTGGTGATACCCCAAACGAAGGTCAATCTTTGAGAAGCAACTTGCTCTCTGAAGTTGGTCAAAAAGGTCGTCTATCCTAGGACGAGGATATTTGTTCTTCACGGTTGCCTTATTGAGTTCTCTGTAATCAATACACATCCTCATGGTGCCGTCTTTTTTTTTTACAAACAAGACTGGAGATTCCCATGGTGACGAACTCGATCTAACAAACCCTTTCTCCAGAAGGTCTTGTAATTGAGACATCAACTCTTGCATTTCGGATGGCGCCAAGCGGTAAGGGGCTCTAGCAATTGGAGCGGTTCCCGAAATGAGGTCGATCCGGAACTCCACCTGCCTATCGGGTGGTAAACCGGGTAAGTCTTCAGGGAATACATCAGGAAATTCATTGACCACCTTCACATCTTCAATTTTTCTTTTTTCTGGTTTGGTATCCAACACGTATGCAATGAACGAGGAGCGTCCTTTAGCTAGACACTTACGTGCCTTCGCCGTGGATAAGAGTACTACATTCCCTCTCCTTCTCCATAAACTAGAACCGCGTCCCCGTCCGACAAAGGATTCGGATCAACTTTTTAGAGCATAAGATTTCTGCTTGATTCTCTATCAACCAATCCATCCCAATTATGACATCGAATCCGCCTATAGCCATGGGTATGAGGTCCACCCGAAATTCTTTTCCCTCAATTCCCAACACACAACTTCTAACAATCTCACGCACCAGGACATGACTACCATTCGCTATCTCTATGATCAATGCTTCTTCTAGTGTACTAGGAGGCATATGCAAGTGTTGATAGAATGTAGTGGATACAAAAGAACATGAAGCACCCAAATCAAAAAGCACGTGTGCAAGTACGGAGTTAATAAGGAACGTACCCGACACTACATCCGTCGACGCCTTAACTTCTTCTCTCGACATCTGAAAGGCTCAACCGGTTGCTTTAGGGGCGCTCTCCTTTCTTCCTTGACTCCCACCTGTTTTCAACTTTTGGCAATCATTCTTGAAGTGACCCGGCTCTCCGCACCCAAAACATATGGGTCCCTTGATCGAACACTCGTTATGTGTGGTCTGCCTTCCCACACTTAAAGCATTGGTGGGGGTAGAGTTGGTGCTACACGGGCCGTGATGTTTACTATGGCATTTGGGACACCATCTAGCCTCTTGTTTGGGATACACTCCGCGATTGTTGCTGTCGAAATGGTTTGGCTTTTTGGATGGTGCATAAGTCCCTTCCCATTTCCTCTTCTCACCACTCGACATCCTTTCTTCTTTTCCTTTAATATAAACCGATTCCATGACTTTGGACTCTTCGATTGCCTTCCTAAGGGTGGAGGCTCTGGAGTTCCTAACCATCACCATCATGTCCGCAGACAGCCCTTTGAGGTAGGCTTTCATCCTCTCCTTCTCCGTTGGGGCCACATGTCCCACTAAATTTAGTTTTTCCATGAAGAGTCGGGTGTAGTCCCTTACTAACAAGTTCCCCTTCTTAAGAGTTCGGAACTCTTCTTCGATGCGGTCCATCTCTTGTTCAATGCAATATTCTTCCATTACCTTCTCTTTGAACGTGGCCCAACTCATCTTGGTCAATTCTGTAACCTCGATGGTTGAGATGACAATGTTCCACCAGGTAAGAGCTGCACCCCTCAGCATTTGAGAGCCAAACTTCACTTTTTGCTCCTCATCACAATCACAAGCCCGGAAGGCTTGCTCAATTTCTCGAAGCCAATTCATGCATGCCACAGGATCATCCGACCCCACAAATTCCGGTGGTTTGCAACATAGGAAGGTCTTGTAAGAGCAAACTCTACCTATTTGTCTCGCCTCAATCGTCACTAACTCCTGGGTTGGGATTCCATTTCCGGTACCCCCAGATCCTCCAATAGTTATATTCTCGGCAATTGCTTCATGCTTACGGTTGTTAGCATCTCTATCCTCCAACAACTTCATAAAGAACTCTTGTTGTTGGGCCATAGCTCTGTTCATAACGTCCATCATTGTGCCCATCATTCTTGATTCCGGGGTTTCTTCTTCCATTATGGGGTTAGAGGTGGCAAGGTCGACTTGGGGAACGTGGTCAACTCCACCACCCAAGGTGTTTTGCCTAGGATGAACCCTTGCGATGGTGGTTCGTGGCGGTTGATCCGCGGTAGATTAAGTCACCGCATGACCTTCCTGTGAGGTATCTCGCCTACTCCGAGTATTCACCATTTTAGTCTGTCATATAAGAGAGTGAAAAAGAGTTGAGATTAGAAGATAGGGAACTAACATAATATGTACCGACACATTCATAAATCCTTGCAGTAACAGTAAGTTCAAGCATGCTTATGTAACAACATACTCAAAATAGCATTAGCTAAGTGAAATTTTGAATAGAATATACATAAGGATCCTCAACATTGTCGTCGAAATTCAACAATCATGTATCTCCGTTGACTCCAAGGCTCTCCTATCTTAAAAGTTTCTACCCACATCACCCAAATTTAAAACTTGCGAATCCAGCTTAAGTCTAGGCGTCTTGATTCCTCACCTAGTTCGCTTAAACTAGGGCTCTGATACCAACTTGTAACACCCTAAAAATATATATACGCAATAATAAGGTAGGAGATAATATGGATCGAAAATAATAGCGGAAACTAGAGTTTAACAAGGATTCACCCATCGAAGGGAGATAATATAACGTTTACAAAATATCTAGCGAGACGATAATTAACAACCTATTAATCTAAACAATTCTATGCCTAGATTAAGAAAGGGTGTTTCTACCGCCTCCAACAAAATATTGTATCATCAAATATTGCAACGCTCCAAAACACCAAAAACTTTATCTACACAAAGCCTTTTCATACGGAACAACGCTCCCCTCAACCCTTTTGAGTCTCGCCGCTAAAGGAACCTGACAAACAATCAATTCAATAAGAAGGGTTAGGCTTACGCCTAGTGAGTCCAAATAGTGAAACAAAAGGGCCAATAAACTGCTACATAAAAGGATATATATATATATATATATATA